ATTTATTTAAAATCAGAAATTTTCTTTCCTCCATATTAACACATTTCGTATTTTTCATTAAAAAACAATCCATACTTAATTAAAAACATATAGTTTAATATGTTGAACAATCCGGAAAATCTTGCTCTGACATTCCGTTTTTGATATTAGTGAGCAGGTACAGTCATGGATGTCCGGTACCAGCACTGCCGAGTACAGTTGCGTATGTTAGCTGACAGACCCCACTCGCGTAAACAGTATATACATGTAGACACGCATGTCCGCGGGAAATCATAGACAACGATGTGCGTTGCATTTTGACTACGATTTTGAATAAAAGTTAATATCTGTCATTACAGAGTAGATAGTTAATACTGGTTGTTTTCAAAGATAAGTATCCTTAAGCATAAAACGTATGCCATCCATGTCAAAAGTTATTTTGTATACCAAACGGCCTACCTCGTTTTCTTGACGCCATTTTTGTTTATCAATTTAAAAGTAGCGACTGTGTCACATGATGCATGAATTTAAATAGAGGCAGTAGTTTCCTAGTAGGATAATAAATAATTATAATTTGAGATCTTTATAATGCGTTCATTTCCAATTGTGTAATTTACAATATTTTCGTAACTTTATTTGGTAAACAAAATAAATAAATTTCCAACTTTATTTTTAACTGACGCAAGTTATAGCGTGTATATCTTTAAAGTCTATTAAAACAATACAGATCGGGAGCAGAGCAAACACGGACCTCCAAAAACATCAGAGGTGGGATCAGGTGTCATGGAGGAGTGGGCATCCCCTGCCGACCGGTCACATCCGCCGTGTACTCCTTGTCATGATCGGGAAATAACGGAAAAATCTGTCGACAATTCAGTGCATGTGTAAATAATGGCCTAACAATTAGTATGAAAAACGTTAGTCAGCATATGACTTAATAATAGATTGTATTTGCTGACAAGATTATTGTATCGACCATAGAACTTACGAAATGATGACTTTAAACGAGATTGTTGATATTTTTGTTTCATCAATTTGTTTGTCAATAACTTACATCGTTTAAGAAATTGTTCATATATAGAGCATGCTCTTGCGTATCGAATCAACTGAGAGATATAAACCCCGTATGCAGGTGATAAGGGTATATTGCTCATAAGTAAGGGAAGTTGACGATTGAAAAGTTAAAGTAATCACGTTTATTATAGAGCTTTGTTGTTAGATTACCATTAACGTCTTTATCTAGTAAAATATCCAGATATGAAACAGATGTGTCAGACTCTGTGGTATCTTTAATTTCAAGCTCATTGGGATATATCGTGTCGACATATGAATGGAAATAACTATTGCTAATTGATAATACGTCGTCGATATATCTAAATGTCAAGTTGAAGGCCACAGCAAGAGATATCTTTTTCTCATGTATAAGATTTTTAATAAATTTTGCTTCATATGAATACAAAAATAGATCTCCTAACAATTGGTACCCATGGAAATTCCAACAGATTGTTGGAAGACCTAGTCGCCAAAAACCACATAGAAAGTGTCAAACAGAAACTCAAGCATCTCTTTAAGGACATATGCAACATAGTTTGAACTTTATTGTCTTTTTCCCTAGATTTGAAGAGTTCCAATACTTAAAGGAACTGTGTGCTACATTTTAATGTCTATTAATGCCGTTGTACACTTCTTCTAAAACAAGTTTGGATACACAATGCTACATTTTAATGTCTATTAATGCCGTTGTACACTTCTTCTAAAACAAGTTTGGATACACAAAACATCTAAAATATATGTTTAGTAATTTTTGTATATTTTTCTTTAAAATTATACAAGAATTTTCATCAATTGATATCTTTTCAAAACCCCTGGTAATGCATGCTGATTTTTTGTCTACAAACATCAGGATTGGGTTGCTCAAAACTCTGGTTAAATTTAACCACTGGTTAAGCTAACCATTGGTCAAATTTATTTTCCATTGGCTACTTAACCACTGGTCAAATTTCTGTTGCTCAAAGGGCAATTAGTTCATAGGCTAACTATCCATTGGTTAGCATGACTTAACCAGTGGATAGTATCCCATAATGCAATATACTTTGTCCATCTGTCAACAATGGCTGCCAAAAAGAGAAGTGAAAATTTCTCTACTGATGATGTTTTGTTCATTATAAGTAAGGTTGAAGAGAATATAGATGTTATTCAGTCGAAACAAACTAATCAAATAACAAATGCCAAGAAGGCAGGTGTGTGGAAAAGCATCACAGATGCTGTTAATGCCCGGGGTGGTGTAAATAGGACCGTTGAACAGGTCAAAGAGAAATACCGTAAGGCCTGTTCAAAAGCAAAGGGGGATAACGTAACCCAGAAGATTCATCGGAGAAAGACTGGTGGAGGGCCACCTCATCCCCCTCTTGATGCCATTTCTCAAAAGATATTGGATCTTCACGAGGACTCCCCTAATTTCACAGGCTTTCAAGGTGGGATTGAGGTTGGCGGATTTAATGTAACAGGTAAGTAATTTTGACAAACCTTTATTTATTATTTTTCTGTGTCTTCATAAATCTCGGCACAACTCGGTCCTTCGTCTGCATGAACTGGCGAGGAAATTCGCATTTTACTATAATCTGGAACGACGGCGTTTACTTCCGTGAGAAATATTAGATGAATTCATTGAAAGTCGTACGGGATCAAGTTTTACGTTTTTTGCTAACGCCGCACACTGTCTATGCATTGTAACATATTCTATAAGAAGCTTTTATTCTTTCTGCATCCACCAAAACAAATACAAAGGTCATGGTCAAATTAACTATTTCGCTCCTATGATGATTCGGTCCGTACCACTTTGACATTACACCGTGCAAATGTCGGTGATTTTCCATGCCGATGTACGCACAATTATTTCTGGCAAATAAATTAAAGTAAAGTACAAATCAAGGACAGACTAGAACCACTTTTATTTAATTTTAGTCAGAATTTTATTGTCATACAATGTTTTCTACAAGTCAAATTAAATTTCATTTAATTTGAATTATAAGCTTTTACTATATCTTTCACAGACTTAAAATATATACATCCAACAAAAAAAATTTAATTACCCTGTAGGCAGTTTGTTTGAAGACAAATTGTAGACATTTTTTATAATATTTATATGTATGTACAATTTCAGAGAAATCAGTTCCTAAACCTGAAGATAGTGACTGTGTTAATGAAGGTCTTGGTAAGCAAATCATATATATTCTGAACATATATCTAATAATGTAATACACAACCAGTTAAATAAATTAAAAACTATTATTAATAGTTTTGGGTAGTTTAAAAATTATTTTATTGAATAAATTTAATTTGACTTTTGAGAAACATTAATACACTATACTTATCACTTTCTTTCACTTAAAAAAAACTGTAAAAAAAAATCCAGCTTTGAGACTGAAACTCAAACTGAAAAATTTCAATCTCCAGTTATAACTCTATCAAATGTATGTAAACTACTTTTTACAATAATTGTACATATAAATATTTAATATTTATTTGTTTTAATTTCAGAATCACAGATCTCATGCAATACAAGTTCATGCAACACCTATAATGGATGTGGGCTTGAGACCTTAGCATCTAATGGTATTGACACTTTTGTAAATATATATCTGATTTTATAGAAACATTGAATATAAACATCCAAAGGAATTTAAATCAAAGAAATTTAAAATCTGCTGGAGATATGGGAAATTTTATTGCAATGTAGATTAAAATGATTGTTACTTATACACAGGTGAGAGCCAACAAATCATTGAACTTCCTGAAAATTCTTCAGGTATGGATTTGATTAATAAAGTTTTATTGCTCATTGATAAATATGAAAACAGAATATGCTTGAAATGAATTTATATTGTTTGAATTTAAACAAAAAATATATACATTTATTATATGTTTATGTTTACATTATTGGTGTCAGCAATTAACAATATAAATTATCTTGTGGTTTAATTTATACAGGATCACCTGTTGCATTCAATGTAACAATATCCAATTCAGGGACAACTGTTAGAAAGTCTGATTGTTCAGGTACACTTTCATAAATGTTATCATTCACATTTAATTGACCATATCATATGGATGAATTATGAAAATTAAATTTATATTTCAATTATGCATGCTTTACAGTGACATATTTTCATTGAATAATTCAGCTGAAGAGAAAAGAAAGAGGAAACCTATTGAAACAGGCAGTTCAGAATTACAATTAAAGGTGTCAGATCTTCAAAGACGTGTTCTGCTTGAGGATTTAGAGAGAATTAAGGAACAGAGGGAATTGATTAAGCTCCAGAAGACAAAAGTGGATCTTGAAATCAAGAAGCTTAAAATGGACATTGCTAATCATGAACCTAGCAATATAAATGAACCCTAAATTTTTAGCACACATGAGCCAAAGTCAGTGCTTTTTCTAATCATACTTTGTTGTTGTCATCGTTGTCATTCTAAACTTTCCAATTTTTTACCCTATATTAAAAAAAATTCAGAATTATTAGAATTATAAAAAACAAATGAGGACCCTTGGGTTGGATGGGGTCACAGTGGGGAATCAAATATTTATGTAGGAATAAGAAAGGGGGGCTTTTAAAATCTTCTCATACGAATAGTGAACCATTAATGATTTTTATGTAAGCCCTCCTATGAAGAAGGGAGGGTATATTGTTTTTCTGCTGTCTGTCGGTTGGTCTGTCGGTCCACTTAGTTTCCGTTCCAAGTTTGTTTAAATCATTTTCTCCTGGGGTAGGATGAGACTACAATAGGGGATCAGTGTTAAATACAGAAGTATATAGGGGGGGGGGGGTCTGCTGATAAACTAAGAATAAGGTCAGAGTGTCTTTGGTGAGCTTTGTGGTCCATAGGCATCTTGTTCTTGATTTATATTTTTAAAAATGAAATTTCTCTGTGTTGTATTTCTTAGTTTGAAAAACTGTTGACATTTCTAAATATTCAGTTTTTAGCTGCATTAATAAAATTTCATCAAATTTTGAGAACACTCAGTTGAAATAATGCTCTGTGATAAATCTCCTGACATTATCATTGATGGGACCCTGCACTGCTCCGTCATTTCCCCCATTGTCTCCTGGGCCATTAATATCATCTTCCATTGGCTCATGTCTCTGAAGAGCTATATTGTGCAGTACAGCACAAGCCACCGCTATCTTTGCAACCCGCCCTGGTTCACACTAACACAAAAAAACATATTTGTAAAAATATGTTTAAGTAAATGCAAACTGTAACTAAATGTCAATGAATATTAAAATTTAATAGAATGGTCCTATAAATACTGAAGTATGTATTAGTGTACTCGGTACTTTCAGGCACTTAGAATGAGGAGGCAGGGGAGGGGATACTAGTACCATACCGTACCACTACACTTAAACTAGCTAGTCAAAACTTTTAGAACATGAGAGTAGGATACCCCTATGTCTTAACACCCCCCCTCCCAAAAATAAAAACTATTAAAAAATTAAACAGAATATTTTCTTAAAATTACTTTGTACTATCTAATTATTTGGAGATGTGTTATCTTAAGGTATGTATAGAGTAAGTTATTATTATTCAGGTAAGGTAGCATGTAGAATTTATTGAAGAATCAAAATTTTAAAAAAGTGAAAGAAAAAATTGTGAAAACATTAAAATTAAAACTCAATACCTGAAATAATTATCATCTTTTTAGTCAGGAGAATGTGTAAAATGTACTATATTGGAAAGGTTCATAGCAAGATCAGTGATTTTTTTGTTTGTTTGTTTCATTTGTAAGATGCTTACTTTATTTTCTTCATGAAGCACTATAAAACGCCTCTTCCACCAACCAAAACACCTTTCCACGACACCCCTAGTTTTTGCATGAGCATCATTGTACTTTATTTGTGCTCTAAGTGTAGAATTTTAAAAGAATATACACAGCATTACAAATAATGCATTAAACTTGGAATTAAAGTAACTTCGTCTGCTTACTATTATTCATGAAACTTAAAAAATGAATAGAATATAGCCCAATTTAGTGTTCCATTATATCGCTGTTTTTCTAAATTTTTCCAGTGCTCACAGTTTTCTAAATGAAAAGTAATTTAGTTATTCATGAATTTTATTTCATTGACATCAGTAATGGTACATGCATATACCTTGTACTAGGCCGCAGGTATGGCGTAAGTAAGTACCTACTGCAGGCATACCCACTATCTCCCAAAAGAACCCCGTCCACATCAATACCCCGATGGTTTCCTTCTAAATGAATGCCGATGTCCGAACTCCGGAAAATAAAAGAGTCGTGGTTCGAACCTGGCCACTTTGCAGAAACATTCAAAAATTTCCCTATAATAAACCAGCAATGTGACTTTCAAAAATGTGTTTGAAATATCATAATTATATTTGCATGAGACGTGGGAGGGTAAATAGTGATAGGGATTTATGTCTGTTTGTCTGTCCACTTCCGTCCATATCCTGTACATCCGTCCGTCTGTCTGTACCTCCGTTATGCTTTGTGGTTCCCATTTCATATCTGCAAGTCCTCCTCTACCACTGAATGAAATCTAATGAAACTTTCACAGAGTCTTTGTTATAAAGTGCATTTGAGAGGCTTATTGTACATTTTTATTTGACAATTATTTGGGGTCCCCAAGAGCAAAACATGGACTTTCGCCATATATATTTATAGGGGGGGGGGGTATCATTCAGTGAGTTTACTGCTCGCGGTACCACTAGTTAGATATATTAACTACATGTATGTTACATGTAACTTATTATATTTGTAGTAGTAAAAGGATTTATTGATTCGCAGTCTATCACTTTACCTTTGAATATTTAACTCGTATGGAAATATTACCATTTTCAAACTTTCACCCTACACATGTACTTCCAGGCATTTGGCCATTATTGAATTGAAGAAGAGGGGGTTTTCTAATGAGGAAAATGTATCGTTGGTAAAATATCACAGCTCTAAGATTACCTGTATGGTCACATATTCCCTGGACATTTATGGAGTGAAACCCCTTTCTATTAACATAGGTATGTTCATATTCTCTCGGGGACTGGATTCGAATATGAGTCCCATCTACAGCCCCGATAACTCCAGGGAATGAGGCAATGGAGTAAAATCCCTGCTTAATGGTCATCTTCTCTGCTGGATCTGTGGGCCATTTGATATATTGTGGAGCAATGTCACACAGTGCGGCTGACACATCCCTAACACTCCTGGACACGCTAGAAACATGGAAACCCATGGTATCCCCAATTGTTGTCATTTTGTCCCCAGTCGCATAATATCTCAGTGCCATTAAAACTTGTTCATGTGCAGTCATTGCATAAGAACGCAGTGTTGGGCGGCACAGATACGGCTCCAGCATATATGTAATTTCTGCTACTGTTTCTCTAGAAAATCTGTACCTAGATGAAAATTCCCCCTCTTCAAAATTGTGATGGAAATGTCTATATACCCTTTCTTTTCTTTGTCGTCTGCCAAAGTTGGAATCGAAGACTAACCTTGCAGCCATAACTAACCACTGGTTAACAGTTAGCACAGCTCCCTTAGGTGTGCTAAAGTTAACCAGTGGTTAGATGAAATTAACCTTTGGACAAGTAACTTTAACCAGTGGACAAATTTTGAGCAATGGAATTTAACCAATGGTTAGAAATTAACCGCTGGATAAGAGATTTAACCAGTGGTTAAACTTAACCAGAGTTTTGAGCAACTCAATCCTGATGGCACTAAAATCTTAAATTAAGAATATCTTGAAAAATTATCAGTAGGTAAGGTACGTTGCGTATGTCCTTAATATCAACTTCAGAGTACTTGTGTGTACAATCAGAACGTTTTAACAAAATAATTTTACAAATGACCAATGACAAGGTAAGTAATTTACAAGTTCCATTTTTTATTGAAAAAACAGCTGTCAATGATGTCAAAAAGCCTGGACTTTAATTTATCGTGAGGAATGGTTGTATACAGAGTTCAAAAGTCGTAAGTTTTTATGTTATTGATTTTGGTAAAATTCTGTGATTTCAAATTTTCCAAAAGTTCCTTGGAATTTTTAAGTATCCACATCTGATCTACACCACTTCTCAAAGATATTGTTGTACAGTACTCCTGAAGTTTCTCCTTCGCTGCTGTTAATATTTTAGTGAGGAGTAAAGAAAGAAGCTTGGTAGAACATTTACTGGAATCCGCTATGTATCTTCGTTAGGATTTTTTATGAAGTTCCTTGTGACGACGTTCCTTTGGGTATCAACATTATTGGCCTCCTGACCTTGACCTGTGAGTTGACCTACATTTTAAAAACTTTCGCCTTGCCTTATCTTTAGTTAGTGCTAGGTTTTTTATATTTCACGTATATATTCCCTGTAATAAAACCTTTCCTTTGGTTCCAATATTTTTGACCTCATGATCTTGATCTTGGAGTGTGACCTACATTTGAAAAATCTTTAACCTTCACGATATTTTCCGAATGGTTGGGCTTTCATATTTCACATTTCTTTAACAAGACCTTTCTTTGGATATCTACATTTTTTAACTCTTGACCTTGAGGTTTGACGTACATTTGATAAACTTTAACACATGCATATCTTGTTTGTTAAATATTTTATGCCACCGTGATCAGATTTTCGGTTTCACATGGTTTTTAGTCTGTTTGTCTGCAAACACTTTAGCCTTGGTCATTACTTTTGAACGGTTGGTGCTAGGGCTTTCACGTTTCACAAGTGTATTCCATGTGACAAAGCCTTTCTTCGGGTACCAACATTTTTCATCTCATGAACTTCATATTTGAGTTAGAAATACTTTGGCCATGAACTGCAAAACGGGGGCTTTAGTGTATCACAAATACATCTCGTTTCCTCATATTTCTATGTTAAAATATTATACCCCATTGTAGCCCCAGTCAATCCCTGTGGGCCATGTAAGTATTCTGCTGGTGTACGTACAGTGTACATGTATGATTTGAACAAACCTGAGTCTACACTACATTTGGATGCTTAACTTTCATTTGGATTAAATAGTGTTTTTCTGTCGTACTATTGTAGGTGGCATGATAAAAAAAAATTATATATGATAAAATTGCGCATAGATATTTTGCATTTTTTAGTCCTGTGTTTCTCAAAAAGACTTTATAAATAAAACTTTATTCCAGATTTAATAAATTAACCCCCCCCTCCCCCCAAAAAAAATCCCACACACAAATTGAAGAGTGAACGTACGTGCATTGCAATGGATTACATGAGCAATTTATTTGTCTAGACCGAAAACTCAAAACAAGGTTTTCAGAACTGCATACGCCACGTTCGCTGCCTGCCCCTATATAAATGACCTAGTTCTGCTTTATCTATAAAAACAAAAAAAACTCACGAATTGTATTCCATTCTTCAGTGCATGGCAATAGTGTTACCACATGACCTACCCTTATCTTTGGCTTCTGTGTCAGAAGAAAACATAACTGTCGAGGTATTAAATATTGGAGGCAAAACACGCCCGGGCTGGGCTTGTTGTCAGCCCTTGTCCCGGGCAAAACAAAATGAATCAAGTGGGTGGATTGAAGGTGGAGTTTTATGGCTTGACAGGAAAATATAAGTTGATACAAGTACACCGTTGAGAGAAGTTTATCTGGAACTTCCAGTGTGGGATATCTAGATGTAGGCAAGAAAGTTGCTGTAGATTTCTCTGCATTTGTGCATGTGTGTGTTTTCAATATGGTCCATTCGAAAATATCGTCGTACCGAAAAATAAAACAGCAGATATCCCGGAAAAAAGGATCTAATAAGAAAATGTATATACGAGACAAATATAAAATGGGCCAACGGGAATCTGAGATAAGCTTTACCTTTTGTATCCAGAGGCAACAAAAGAGTACAACAGCGAGAGGGAGTGATCTACAGCTACAGAGAGAAAATGATGAAGATGTGCTACTATTCAGAACAAACAGGTTTAATCACGTGACAAAATTAAACCACTTCAAATCAGACGAATTGATATAAAATAATTCTGTTCAAGCCCTTCATTGTACAGCGGAATTTACTGACAAAATTATGATTTTTGTTTCATGTATTTTTTTTCTTTTTTGTTGTTTCCCTTTGAGTTTTTAGTAAACATATTTTTATATAGACGTATGCCAGTTGTCTCGAGAAAAATTGTTATAAGGCGATCTTCAACTTTTTGGAATAAAAAAAATACTGTACAAGATCTGTAAGAGTTTTGGCCAAGAGTATGGTTTAAAACTAATTCTACTAGATAGCCTTGCTTCGAAAATTCGTACTATTCATCTGCAACTATGGGAGTTATAAAGAACCATTATGACCGGGGACTTTAAAAAAAAATGTATATTTTACTTACTAATTACCTCCGCAAAAAAAAAAAATTAATAAATTAATTTTAAAAAATTGAGAACATGTTTCATGAAATATTTGGAAAAGCTTGCCTTGAAACAAAGAAATTCTTGAGATTCATCTGGTATTGTATGTAAATGTATTTTCATTTCGAATTATGTTAGCAACCATAGCCATATGCTTTCAGTGTGCATTCCATTGTTTTTCTAATTTTGTATTTGACTTTTTTGATCAATAGTTGTCAGCTTTGTTTTGTTTTGTTTTTTGTTTTTGTTTTGTTTGTTTGTTTGTTTGTTTGTTTTTTTTTGTTTTTTTTTTTAATAGCTATTTTACTTTTATTTATCTGGTATCATTTTGTTTTGATTTTTCTTGTTTCTATATATTCAGTTGCTCGTTTCTTGCTTTGGTTATTTATGAAAGAGAAGAAAAGTTACGGATTTTAATTTTTACAACAACCTTTTTCATGCTTAATTTCAGAATTAGTACTTTTGTTTTTAGGTAACTGAAAGTGAAGTCAATTCTTTATTATATATACGGATATATGGAGTTAAAAATCTTTTACAAATGATGAAATTATATGATTATCACAATTATGTGATGTTTATCTTTGTATTTGCACAAGAAGAAAAATTAAATTTATACAAAGTTAGATTTTTATGTATATGACCATGGAAGTACTTCTGGACAAGGAGCCTGATCAAAAGTATGCGTGCTTTAACAAACACTTTGAATTAAGTTAAAAGTATCATTACCGCTACATTTTGAAAATTTTCATTACCGCTACATGCACATTACCGCTACAAAAAAGGATACATTACCGCTACATTTAAAAGTATACAATACCGCTACATTGCCTCTTTCGTTAGCCAGCGTCTTATGCGTGTACAGTACAACATATATATACATGCATAAGACCTGTTGCCTCTGCTCACCACGGGAAGGTGAAAGTAGGACTCTGAGCAGGATGGGTTTTTTTTCATTTTTTATTTGTCGCAAACTTCTCAATAGTAGCCATGACATTCATCTGACGCTAAATCGACTACAGACATATATACTCATTTTGATTAGAATTCAGATCCAAATTGTACTTCACTACATGGTGAGTGAATTATATTGAATGGAACTCATATCCCGTGCCATTGCTGGCCGATTCGGTATGTAGCGGTAATGAGTTGTTGTCGGCATTAGTCCCTTTGATAAAATGTAGCGGTAATGATCGCCCGAAACTTTGAGAAAATGTAGCGGTAACGGGTTGAAATTTTTCGCAAAGTAGCGGTAATGTTGACCTCCCAGTACAAGGACCCAAGTTATCATTGTGGGCTAAGATAAATTGATGTTTATTTCTTCTCCTTTCGAAAAATTTTCTTTGGCTGACTATACCTTGCTATAGAAAAATATGTGTGGTTTTTTTTTTCGATTTAGAGTATTTACATCTCTCAAATTTCATAACAATGATAACTGAAAATGCTGTCATAAGGTAGTACTAGTAATATCGCACTTAAGTGTTTTTACTTCTAAAATTATTCTCCTTTGTACCTAAAAAAAAACGAAGAAGTAATAATTTTTATTCCATGGTTAACATTATTATATATGTACCAAATTGAGCGTAAAATGGCCAGTTGAGCCTGTGGCCCATTTGATGGAAAAGAAAATTTCGAAACCGTATTTAATATCTAGAGGACAGCACCGGTCATATTTTAAAAGTTGATTTGGGTATGAGTAAAATGTATGTAGTAATTTGAAGATGGGGGATTGACCTCCCCTATGAAAATAGAAATTCCAAAATCTCATTACATACCTAAAGCATATCACAAATCATATTGGCTACTGCATAAATCTTGGAACATGTGTTCGTAGAAAAAACATCGTTTTAGACGCACAAATGTCCCCAAGGGTGAAAAGACAAAATATACATAGAAAACCTTATTGCACATCTATATAGAACACAACCAATTATATTCCAAAAGATGAAATTACTAATCTTTAATATGTAAGAGGAGTTTGAGAAAGAAGATTATGTAGAAAAGCGAAATTTTTTGAATCCCCATTGACCCCAGTGAAAATAAATTTTAAAACCTTATTGCACATCTACAGGACACCAATAGATTCCAAAAGATAATTCCCCTGCTCAGTCATTCTATGTAAAGGGACCAATTCAGGGTATATAACATGAAAAAAA